GGCCAAACTTCTAGAGGGCGCCACTTTGTTACGACCTTTTTTTGTTGTTAAGTTATAGCTGCCTAGATTTTACAAATTAGAAGGTTCTCTACTACTTACTCGTTTGCCAGTTCATAAGATACGATATAGATAGATAAGAATATATGGATCTCATACCCTTGCTAAAATTTATTGTGTATAGGGGTATATACATTGCACATAGCATTTTCATTCCTGTTTTCACCTGTTGATCTGCTCCCTTCTGGTGGACCTGCCCTAACGAGTCTGAATCTAAAGTTAATAAGTAGCAGATACTTAACTCACACTATTGAAGTCAAATTACTTGCTGCCTTTCATAAATTAGTGCCCCTGAAGCCACCCTAGTCATTGTTCACAATTTTATAACCTTAATAGCAATGAAGTTTGCGGGCAGGTGTCAAGTCGGCTGGCACTGTCAAAGGTGAGAATGATAGCATGTCAACTGGCGTGGAAATGTCAGGCGCGAGACGCGGGCAACAAGGAAAAAAAAGGAAAAGGGATCGCCATTGCAAATTTTCGGTACCGCAAAGGCGGATATGGTATCGGAAAATAGCTGAAAAAGAGAAATCTTCACAATTACAAGTGCTATAGGTGCACCACTAGTATTGTGGGATTATTCAGATTGGGAGACTTCCCTCTACATTAAAGGCCACCCTACACCCTAGACCTTTTTCGTTTTCTTTATTCTGTTTCTTCTTCACTTCAACGTCTTTTGCTTCCTGCTCCATGCCTACATTTGACCATCTGAGGGCTGGTTGACACCACCAGGTGACCTCCAACAGGTGATTCCAGGGATTCCAGGTCAGATTAGGCTGTAGCGTTTATTTATGTAAAATTTCAGGTTCCTGGGACAGCTGGAATATAGAGCACCCGATTTGTTGTTGTAACATTATCCATTAGGTTAAGATCACTGGTTTATATTTCACCATCCAGTGCGCATACTTACCACAGGCATATCTGGGGGCCCCCTTCTGTAGTAACGCATCACCTTGTCCAGCAGGTTGTGTAAAGGACATAGCATTTTGATGCCTCGGCGCCAAGCATATGGCTGGTGCCAAGCGTAACACAATAGACCATAAGTTACTTTTGTATTGTTGTCTCTTTTTTTTATAAAATGTAGGAAACAAGAATACATTATTTATTTTGTTCTTAAGAGACCACTGTGGTACTGATTTAGTTTTATTTAGCTAAATCTTAACAATGTTTGATAACGACTGATTATTACATATTATACAATTATATATTTTTTTTTGACGCCTTGGCGCCAAGCGTATCACTGGCGTCAAGCGTAACAACACAGCACTATCTTGGTAAATAACTTATTATAACTTTTTTGTGGTACCCTGTAATACAACTGACCGAAAAAACTTATTTTCTCGTATTTCCGCATCAAAAAAGGTTTACTCGTTAGAAATGTCTAGTGTCTAGTGTCGCGGCTGCTTCGGTATAGAAAAAAAAGGAAAAATAGAAAACAAAATTTTAACTTTCACACCCCGTAACTCGCAAACTATGAACTTTTGGACTGATGAATGTTTGGGTCAACTCACACATTTTGGTCTGTAGTATCTATCTCCAGTTTCGAGATTTCGCAGACATATACATATTATATGTGCGTCGGTACGGAAAAGAAGAAATAACAAATTAATGTAAGCAGACACTATAAGTCTGTCGTGAAATATACCATGGCACTACCATCCACTCATTTTTACAGCTATACAGGGTGTCCCACATAGAACTGCAGCGGTTGATTACTCAAAATGTTAGAAAATTTGGATTGATAGTACAATTGATGGGAAGCGACTCGGATAAAATATTTTTCAAAATGATGACACTTCTGGTTGAACCGGAAGAACATACTAACAATAGAACACTCTATATATAATTGAATTTCTGGATTCAGTGCCATGTTATATAACTTTGTGTCAAAAATGACAAATGCATGCTAATGGATTATAATGATTTTTCTCGTATCCTATTCGTCATTGTCCGTCAGAGCGGTCCGTGAGACCTTCGCACTTTGTCAAAGTATCGTAGGTCAGTAGGTCTGTCAGGTCTGGTTGCCCAGATACCAGACGAAGTCAGGGAGAAAAAAGGAAGGAGAAAGAAACGAAGGAAGGGGGAGAGCAAAGAGGGTGAAGTGCACCGGTTAAAGGGATGCCTTGCTATTGTTAACCGGTATTCGGTTAATTTAAATTAATCCAAAAATTAATCAAGGAATTGGTGTCTGGCAAAAATCGTAATTTTGGTTTGATATAGAATTGCACGATTTGATTTTGATCACAGTGCGAGCCGCCGTCTTGTGTGCTTGCGAACTTGCTCGACTGTGTAGTCTACTGACTCACGCAACAGAGGGTTGCTGAGGGATTCCGCTTGACTATAACGTAACTGCTCGTGACGTTTGATGTAGTCCCTTAGGTAAGGGATGTGAAGCGTCTCGTTGGAGACATACCATGGTGCGTTATTGATGGTTCGCAAGGTTCTGTTCTGCGAAACCTGCAGATTACGCATATGCGTTTTGGCAAGAAAACATCATGCTGCACATGCGTAAGTGATTGCTGGTCTGATAACCATCTTGTATAGCCGAACTTTGTTAACCAAACTTAATTTTGAGGTTCTATATAGTAAAGGGTAGAGTTGCCGAAACGTAATTTGGAATTTAGTTTTTAACGCTTCAGTGTGATTCTGCCAGGTCACCCCCCTGTCAGGAGTGACATCGAGATACTTAGCAGAATTTCCACATGGTATGCCAGCTCCATTCACTGAAACCTCAGGCGGGGCGCCGCTACGTTTTTTAGTACAATATGTAGCCTGCGTTTTCGAGTAATTAATTTTGATTAGCCACCGATCAGCCCATTCCAATACCTCATCCACTGCACTTTGTAACCTATCGTGAACCAGATTCCCGGTACGAGACTGGGCCACCAGTGCAGTGTCATCAGCATATAGATAGACTACACAGTGACTTTTGAATTAGTTTATAGAGAAGGCCCTTGTGCCCAGATGCCAGAACTTTCGTTGAGGGTGAAGCCTCTGGTTACTCACTCCACAAGCCTAACCACCTGTAACTTCGTACTATGCTCAGACCGAAATCCAAATTGCACGTCAGGAATTCAAATTGTGATCTGACGAGAAATTCGCAAGGTGACGTAGAATCACTTTTTCAGCTAGCTTAGACGGAGCAGACAGTAGACTGATGGGACGATAGTTTTGTAGAAATATAGAACCCACCTTCTTTGGAATCATTATAAGTTCCGCAGTCTTCCACGCCGATGGAAAGTACCGGGTCCTTCGCATGGCAGTGATAATAGCCACGAGATAAGTCAAGACTTCCGTGGAAGCAGCTTCAGCGCCTTATTAGTGACTTGATCCTCCCTAGGTGCTTTACGCACCTTGAGGTCTTACAATTTCATTATCATTATCAAGATCATAGTTGGGATAGAACTGTCGTTCCATAGAATCAGCGAAAACCTCGACCTTGTCCTCTGTCCTGAAGACTGTGCCCCCAGGACCGTGGATGTGCGGGAGTTGTTCTCGCTTTCCGTTTCTGAGCGACTTCGCCACTTTCCAGAGAGGAGTACTTTAGTCAAGCATCCCCGCCAGAAAATCTTTCCATTGATCATATCGGAATTCATGGAGAGCATTTCTTACTTCATGAATCAGATTCGTCGCTATGCGAATGTCATCAGGATGATTTTCTCGTATCCTTAGGGCCGTATCGACGTTCCTAAGCATGTAGGACGTCTTTATGGCCTTCTTGATTGTCATAGTCTTATCCTTTCTTTAGATTTCTATTGCTCTGTGTCAGCGTTACCGCTCTCTTATTGTGAGGTTATGTTTTCTTTCTAAATCGTAAGAAGTTTCAGGTTCATAAAAAAGATGATAAAAATCAAAATTCAAAAAGAAAATATATCCTCAACATAGAGCACTGACACGAAACAGTAGAAATTTAGAAATATCCCTGCATTTCTGAAGGAAAGAAAAAACTATGAAAATCAACGAGGCCATAAAGACGTCCTAAAATTGTAGAAACGACTGACGATAGAGCCCTTATCTTTGCCACATGAGTTGTAGAGGATTTTTTATAGTAGGGAACCCAATAAGCCAAGGTCAAATTAAATCCAATTTTGTAAGGTTGTCTAGTTTGCAAATAGTAGTTTTCGAGATAAGTATTGGTTTCTCCCTTGCTTAAATAGTCCATAAGGCCTTTACCATGGGATAAACTCAGTTGGTCACGCTACGGCGACAGCGCGTTATCCTTAGTAGACCGCTCGATTACCGCCATGATCAATTGAGATTTTCCAATGCAAGAAGCCTTATGGGGCATTAAAGCAGTAGAAAACCCAGTATTTCTACATATCTCGAAAAATAATAATTTTCGAGATAGACAACCATATAACGGTAATGTTGCTTTTAATCCGATGAAATTATGAAAAAAATGTTTCTATTTAAAAAATGACTTTTTCGGTTTTCTGAAATTTGATTTTCATTATCTTTTTTTGACCACGTTGTCTATTTGTTATCGAAAACCGTACGTAACAAAATCTATTAAAATAAACCCCCTACTTTGAGAATCACTTTACAAATCATATTGCAAAGCAAAAATTGGAGAAACAAAATTATAACTGCATTTTGTACACAAAATTTGTGATATATCAAAATCGTTTAGACTTAGGGATAGAAATGAAATGAATGTTAATTCATGGAATGTATATAGAAGCTCGTGTAGAATCCAACAATGGAGTAGTTTGTAGGGTATTCTACTTAAGATAAGCAAGTTGGTATCTACTTTCGATACACCAGGAAGAGCCATTGTTTTGGAAACGGAAATCTATGTGCTCGTAAAAATTGTACTAAAAACCCAGAAAAAAACTATACTTCTGCTTTTTGAGTCATCGATGACTGTTCTATGTAGAACCCCATGTATGGTCCTTAAGCTTGAAGGCGATCACTGGTAGTTCAAATACCGTTATTTATTATTTCAGAGTGCCTGAAAGAGTATAAAAAGGGTAGTAGCCCCATTAGTATGAAAAACAGCAAAGAAAAGGAAATCAAGAGTATAGAAAGCCTGAGCAGTATTAAGGAGAGAGATATTGAAGTAGACCAGCCAGTGGAGACATACAGAGTGATAGAACGAGTGTGATAGAGAATTAGAATAGTCAGCGATTGAGAAAGGTAATCAAATTATGTAAAAAGTTGCTCAGAGGCAGCAGAGGTCGAAGTGTACTGGTGAGACTGGACGGAAGAAGACGAAGGTTTACGATAACAAAATTAGTTTCTCTGATTCGCAACAATTTAATTATAAAAGGGCCATGAAGGAAATAAAACGGAATTCGTTTCCTGGTGTTCGCATACGCTCAAATTGAGGCGGTATAAAACTGTATGTGACGGTATGATTCAACCGCTTCGTTAGCTGAAGGACATGCTATATAGATGCTGAATACTTTTAGAGTGGATACAGGTCACAATTTCGCTGAGTTGATGACGCTCTGTTTGTGTGGTTGCTATGGACACGGCGTTTCGATAACGAACACCATATTTTGTATTGTATGTTGAAGCTAGTATCAGAGCATCGCATGCGGAGCATTCCGGTACGTCACTTTTACTCTCGACACGATTGTTCGTAGAAGCTTGGAATTCTCCAAAAAAAATTGCGTAACGTATTAGTTTCGCATATACCACTTATACAAGGTAACCTGAAAGTCGCCACAATTTTTAGAATATGCAATGGGTAAAAGTAAAATAGTAGTGGTTTACCGGCTACTCGATGTAATCTTAGGCCTCTATACTTTTGGCCCCGAAAATGAATAGCACGAAACATTTTACGTTCAGATATGATCTTGCATGGAAAATACATCTTGATCAAGCACATCGTCAGAAACCCTCGTTTGGAAATATATCAGAGATCTTTCTGGAAATAAAGCAATAAGAACTATGAAACTAGTACTGTCTCAAACCTTTCCCTGAGTTTTAACTGCTGACCTAGAAATTAACCTTGCCCATTACTTTGGAAGTCAAATCGGGGTGAAAATACTTTTCAACATAGGGCATGTCTGAGCGTAACATTTTTCGCTCTATTTCCGCGGCAAAGTACAGGGCATCAGACAAAAGATTGCATCGATCGTGATATATAGATTCTATTACCTTGACATTGATCTAACTGCCAAGGTCGTGGTACAGGTTAGTTTCAATGTCATCAGTAAATAGCCAGAAACAATTTAAAGCTGCACCTCGATCCTGATTTTTGATCTTGGAAATATTTTCAAACGACGGCTGTGTACTATGACGTTCGAGGACAAAATAGTTCTCACCTAAGGTCATTTCTGAACATTTTACTTCACGTTCTATACTTTCTGGGGCCAACGCATAATATGTACAAAAAGTCGTCTTGACCTTGAGTTGACCTCAAACGTAATGGACAACGTGAATCTCAAGGTCACCACTGAATATCCAGGAAAAATTACTGAACTACAGTTATTTCTTGTTTACCGTACCTTTTGTGTATTCCCGAATATCTTGCTGTTTTAGGACTTCAGGGTCACCTTGTATTATAGAAAAGCGGTCCTACCAGGCATTCAGCGTTCGTATATATTCCTTAGGTGGCAAATATATACTTGCGTTTTTAAAATTCCATATGAAAGGTATTAATTAATATATGTTATATGTGTAGCTACACCAGTACAGAACGACTTTCTTCAGGATTAGTGACTACATATTTTCAGTAGTCTTTGTGTGTAAGACATAGCGATACGGATTTGTTGTATGGTACTGGCCTTTGGCGAAATACCTATTAATATATTTAATATATTGCTAGTGCTAATTTGCACATATTAGTCAGTACCATTACAAGTAACATGTAGGTAATGTACTTCAGACTTTCTAGTTTTACATAATGACGATAATCTCATTTGATCAAAATCTCCTTAGTGTATATAATAGTTCAAGTTTTAAATAATATTATCTAGGCTCTAGCAACGATAAAGCGCCTTTTAAGGGGTTGTGATATGAAATCTTCCTTAGTGTAGGATAATTTAATGAAACGGTGCAAAATAATGTATTATTTACTGAGACATAAATTGATCACTGCTACATCCAAAGAATCTGTTTCAACGACTTGACCTGCATTTTGCATTTTCACTCAACCTCCATGAGACCATGCGCTTGAGAATACGGATTCTGACCGCATTTGAACCAATCTATAAGTATAATAATCACTGATATCAAACAGAACCCAGATATTAGCACGGTCATTTTATGTCTTTAAAATAATTATTTCTAAGAATGTTGAAATTTGTTAACTGAGCCAGTAAATAGAAAACAAATACTAGAAGCTGTCACACATATGGTTTGCTCCTCAAGCACAGTATGTGGTGAAACCTTTCCATTTACTGGCTAAAAATGTATGCCATAAGAATAGCCCATATACCTAGTTATTAGTTATTCTAAGTTGCCATATCGACTGATTTAAGTTAGTAGAATTTATTTTCATAGTCATCATCTAGTATATTACTTCTAATATTTTTAGATACATTACTAGTATTATCATTATTTTGTTTTTCATGAAGTTCCACTTATTTCATTATAATAATAGTGACAAGAGCCATTAAACCTATGCAATATATGAAAATCCCATATGACTTGTTGTGCCAAAATAATGAATCCACCTCTTATATTTTGAAACTGTCTTTTCAAAAACAAGCTAATGAATTTCCACAGGAAAATGCCCAAGTGGATGAAACTTCACCAGTTCTAGGTTTCTTGTAGGACAGTGATTTTAGAATCCAGTGCCTTGAACAAAAAATTTACCTAAACCTTTGTATAGATTTTTTCAACATGGCTTCCATAAGCACATTTCAGCAGTTTTTTTCTTAAATCTTACCCTTTTTAGCTGACATAATTTTACCAATTGCATGCTGTCACACGTATAGAATAAACACGTACATCTTCTTCCCAGGACACCTATTTAATACTGAAGAGCACCTTAGATATTCGGAAACTTTGAAACAATCTATATAAAAACTGGGTTATATATTATGTTATCTTAACCACAGGGTCAAATCGAGCAAATTGTTGTGAATTTGATTAAGACTTTTGTTCCTGCACAAGTTTGGAACACAGTCAGAACTGAGCCTGGGTATGCATTTCGAAGTATGTATGTATTTGTTCCATCAGTCCATGTTCCTGTTCATGTTATTGGTGTTTGCTGTTCAAGCACCTTAGGGGTTTGTTCGAAACTAATTATTTACTTGAAAAATATGTCCTGAACACAATTAGGAACATCTATGGTACAGACAGGCTTAGGTATGTACAGTTAAGAGTCAAGTGGCAAGTTATAACGGTTAAAGTGAACTTTTTGGTTATCTGTTTTCTTATTTGCGTTTAAGCTTGTTTGGTTATTTTATTGTAGCTTACGTTCGAAACCAAAAATTTTGAAACATAAAGTAGAGATGATTGCATTTTTTACACCTTTTGTTGTATTGCTGTTTTTCCATTTTATTCTAACGTACCACCAAGAAACCCGCAATGTTTCGGGATTGGTATACACCAAGTGAAAACTGCAATACAAAACGGTTAGTACAAATTATCGTTCATGGCGCTGGATGCTCCGAGAAAAAATATATGTAACATCTGAAACTTATCCTATGTTTTTTCTATTTATCGGAATCCATGATCCTCTAGACATATGAAACGATATATTTATTAAACTCTTTTTATTGACGTTTCGGCCAACATGCTGGCCTTTTTGAAATGTTGACAATGAAAATATATTTTTGATCTTTATCTGTTTTCCAGGTGACAGTTATTTTGTTTTTTCTTCGCTTCACTACTATATAGGGTGTCCTATTTCAACCTCCCCGCCTAAAGTATGCATTCTAGAAACAAGTTCCAAACAAAACTAGTGGTGGCCTGTGACCTTGACCTTGGCAAAAACCTTCAAAGAGACGCCAAGAAAATGTTTTCAAATGGAGCTCCTTTTTTGTAATGGCATTGGAAAGCTGAAAAAATTTTATGTCGGAATATGGCCTTGACTGTGTCCATTACCATGACCTTCAAGGTCAGTTCAAGACATTCAAAACAATTTGCTCTAGGAAAAATCTTCTACAGCACTGTTGTGAGCTGTGCTAGGTGGTTTTCATCTTGACCTTCACCATCATCTTTAAATTCATGCCATTATTTTACAAACGACGTTTAAGAAGGCATAACCTTCGCGTCATATAACATTTTCTGCTTTTTTCAATTCCAGGATGGGGAGGAAGGATTTCCTTCGAAAAATTTGCTTGGGCCTTAGAGGTCAATTTCCCCCTCTTTCATTTGGCTAGAAGATCGTGGGTCCGATCAAAGAAATATATATGTTCCGAAAATGAATTGAATGTTTCGTTGGAACGATGCTTATATTTCAAAGAGATACTATTTTTGCTCATATTTTGAAAGAAAAGCTCCATAACCTTAGATCAAGGCTGTCGAACAATGAGCTTGTCAGCTATGTATATACATACATATTTTATCAATAATTATTTCAGATGCTTAGTTTTTAGAGTCAGCGTTGAGATGGTATCAGAATGTCTAATACTTCATTTGGAGTCGTTTACATGAGTATCTATTACATCAAAATGACAGCAAATAACAGCTGATTATCCGGTAATATTTCAAAATACCCTATATCGACAAGTGGCACACAATTCTGACGGATCTGTGGTGGTCTTTTTACGCTACGGATTCATGCTTCCTAACATCGCTTTTATTTAGCAAAGTTCCTTCGCACACAACAAAATACGCGACAAGTAAAAATCATGTTAATGATCATGATATTTCAAGTCATGTAGGAATAAGCCAAAATTAACAGTTCTTGATCCTAAATGGTATAAACAGTTCTAAATATGTTTCCGAGTCATTATTGGCAACACTACAGACTTTAATAGAAAGATGTCACTTGACGATCAGCGGTTCACCTCAGTAGACGTAAGTATGTAATGGAAAAAGACGATAGATACCTACGTTATGCCGTGTGGTAATGCTCGAAATACATTAAGTGCCAGGGCATACGTGCCTGAAATTGATGCGCTGCAAGAAAACGCGCGGTTAGCATTACACTGAAAGAAACATAATGTACTGTATGTCGAACGTGTACAGCGGATAAGTCACGAGGGTAAATGGGTCCGTGGCCCTTTGACTGGATATATTATTCCTGAAGCAACATATATTAACGAAAAATCATTATGCCTGTGTGAAGTTTGTAAATGAAACGTTTCTTAGGAAATATATTTAGTGCACTTTCTTCGCGGCAGTTCTGTAGTTATGTAAAATAAATGATATTTTTATGTTTCTTGTTGTATTATTTTATTAAATTCTCCTTTCAACACACATTCCACGTTTTTGGATTACAGCTTGTGTGAAATCGAGTTAACCCTTAACTAACATGGCCAAAAACAGTAACATTTATACCATGGCAGGGTGAAATTAGACCCCATTGTTTTTTTAAAAATCCAATTTTGTACCTTGTTTTTGTGTTAAGTTATTTTGTTTTCAACTAGTTTTACAATTTTATAAAATAAAACGAATATGGTTAGTTATAACTTTATTAAAAAAACTTCGGTATCCAGTGAAAATTAACAAAGATGTGCAGTTTCGAAAATTATAAGAGAAATTATGAAAATTTTCAGTTTTCTTGTATTCAGTGGTGAA